CATGACATCTTTGCTGCACACGAGGTGCCCTGCGAAGCTTGCCTTTAAAACGATCTTATTTCATCACCATGTATTCTGGCGTAAATCTAGAGTAGTGTCACTCCGCTGGCAACGTCTCCCGCCATCTGAGGTTTCGAACTATTCTTGGAAAGGGAGAAGGAGGCAGAGCTGCAGGGAGACTGGCTTCCCTCCTCGGGGCAGGACGCAGCAGGTCTGCAGCTGCTTGGCTGCGCTTCGCTTTGTCCACCTGTGAACGGTTTCTGAATGTGGTTGGGGCTGGTCAGGGCTCGGGGCGGGAGTGCAGTGCCAGCCCCCAGCAGGAGGGATCTTTGGTGAGCTCAGAGCCCAGAGGTCTCATCCTCCGATGGAGCCTGTCTGGACTTCTGTAACCAAGTCCCACAAACTGGTGGCTTAAAACAGCAAATTTATTCTCTCACAGTCTGGAGGCTTGGAAGTCCAAAATCAAGGTGTCAGCAGGGCTGCGCTCTCTCTGGAGGCTCTGGGGGAGGCTCCTACCTTGTCACTTCCAGTTTCTGGTGGCCCCAAGCATTCCTTGGCTTGTGGCTGCATCACTCCCATCTCTGCCTCTGTCTTCACGTGGCCTTCTCCTCCTCCATATAACAGCTCCCTCCCCTTTCTCTTTAAGGACACCAGTAACTGGATTTAGGAGTCCCTGGGTGGTGCAGAAGGAGCCCTGGGGGCACAGTGGTTAAAGTGCTCAGCTGCTAACTAACTGAAAGGTTGGTGGTTCGAACCCACCCAGCAGCTCCACGGGAGAAAGATCTGGCAATCTGCTTCCTTAAAGATTTACAGCCTTGGAAACCATATGAGGCAGTTCTGCTCCGTCCTGTAGGGTCATTATGAGTCGGAGTCCACTCAACGGCAACAGGTTTTGGTTTGGGTGGTGGAAACGATTAATATGCTCGACTACTAACCGAAAGATGGGTGGTTCAAGTCCCCCCAGAGGTGCTTCAGAAGAAAGACCTGGTGATCTACTTCATGAAGATCACAGCCTTGAAAGTCCTATGCAGCACAGTTCTACTCTGACACACATGGGGTCACCAGGAGTCAGAGCTGACCACATGCTGGTAATTGGATTTAGGGCCCACCCCAAATCCAGGATGATCTCAGCTCGAGAACCTTCATTACATCTGCAAAGACCCTTTTTCCGAGTGAGGTCACATTCCCAAGTTGCAGGGGTTAAGACTTGGATGTTTCGTTTTGGGGACCACCCTTCAACCCACTACAGACCTTGGAGGACAGAGGAGCTTCTCAGGCAGAGGAGGGTGAGGGCCCTGGGGCTCCTTGCTCCTGAGACCCCTTCTTGTGGGGCTCCCGGGGTTCCATGAGCATGCTACCAAACTATGATCTCAAGAGGACAAACACTGTATGATCCCATGTGTATGACATCCAGAATAGGCAAGTGCACAGAGACCGGAGGTGGGTTAGTGGGTATCTGGAGGGGGGGAGAGGAGGGAATGGGGAGTTATTGTCAATAGGTATAGAGTTTCTGCTGGAGGTGATGAATACATTTTGGGAATAGATAGCGGCAAGGTTGCACAACATGGCCAATGTAATGTTGCTGAGTTGCACACTTAAAAAAAAAAAGATTTAGCGCGATATCATTCTACAATCAGGCTGACACTCTAATAGGCACCTTGTGCGGAAAGCAAGGAGACCTGGTGACGCAGTGGTTAAGTGCTCGACTCCTAACGGAAAGGTTGGCGGTTCAAACCCATCAGCCACACTTTGGAAACCCTGTAAGGCACTTTTATTCTGTCCTGTAGGGTCGCTGTGAGTCGGAATCGACTGGACGGCGGTGGGTTTGGTTTTGGTTTGGATGGTGCGGAAAGCAAGGAGACCAGGTGGTGCAACGGTTAAGCACTCGGCTGCTATGCAGAAAGTTGGTGGTTTGAACTCACCCTCGGCACCAAGGGAGAAAAGACCTGGTGATCTGCTCCTGTAAAGGTTATAGCCTTGGAAACCGTGTGGGGCAGTTCTACTCTGTCCTATATAGGATCTCAGTGAGTCAGAATTGACTCGAAGGCACGCAGCAACAACAACAATGGAAGTTTTGATGACCCCATGTGTGTCAGTGTAGAGCTGTGCTCTGTAGGGTTTTCAGTGACTGAGTTTTCAGAAGTAGATCACCAGGCCTTTCTTCCGAGGTGCCTCTGGGTGGACTCGAACCTCCAACCTTTCAGTTAGCAGCCGAGCATGTTAACCATTGGCACCACCCAGGGACACGTGGAGTTGCCATGAGTCAGACAGACAGACAGACGGGTAGTGGTCCTAAGTATTCCTCATCTTACAGAGATGCGGAATTTCTAGCCGTCAGGTGCTTGCACATTTGTGCAATTGCTTGAGTTTCTGAAAGTTACCCAACAGTGATCGTGAGATTAAGGGTGGTTGAAGGGTATTTTTCACTTTGGTTGAATTGTTAACCCTTCAGTTCAGGGGTTGGCAGACCATCCCCTGGGGGCCGCGTCCGGCCCACCACCTGTTTTCATCTGGCCTGTGAGCTGAGAATGGTTTTTACATTTTTTAATAGTTGCTGTCAGTTGCTGTCGAGTCTGTTCTGACTCGTGGCGACCCCATGTGTGTCAGAGTGGAACTGTGCTCCGTAGGGTTTTCAAGGCTATGATCTTTCGGAAGTAGATTGCTAGGCCTTTCTTCCAAGGTGTCTCTGGGTGGACTCGAACGTCTAACCTTTGGGTTAGCAGCCAAACTCGTTAACTGTATCACCCAGAGACTCCGAATACATCCTACAGATGTAATTTTGTTTGACTGCACTGTGCTTTAAAAGGTTTTTGCTTTGTATGTGCCAGCATTTAAAACTCAGGAGAGATCATATAAACTCAGATTTCAGGCTGTCTGGAGAACAGGCTGCTCTGGCCACACTGAGCCCACACCCCCGCGAGCCAGCGTGGGACTAAGTAGCTGGTGTCTGCCTGAGAAGGCCGGCGGTGACCTGCCTGTCTCGTGACCCACATCACTTCCCACCCTGCCACATCACTCTGCAGGCTTTTGCAATCCCTCCCGCCGCTGGGTGGGGTGAGCTTTGCCCCCCAGGACTGTCCCCTTCTGTGCCCACCAAGAAGGAGGGTTGCCCAGGGCTGAGAGGGGTGTCCCCAAGGAGCCCTGCACCGGGAGGTTGGTTTTTCAGGCTGCCGGTATCGGGGACTGGGCTTCCTCTGCTCCCCCTCCCCAGCCCTAAGAGCACGGTCACCCTGCACTCAAATCCCCCCGCCCTGGCCACGTGTCTTCCCAAGGAAGTACCGTGCTGGAGTTAGGGGTGAAGAGGCTGGCTAGAGGAGCCCGTTAAACACGGCTGAGACTGTGGTTTGAGGTTGGGACCAGGCGCTGTCCCTTTTCCCTGCAGGCAGGGTGGGAGTTGGTAGGGTTCCCTGAAATCCCGAGCCCTGGGGGTTGGTGCAACGAGGAGAGGGCTGGAGGGCTCTCTGGGTGCAGCCGCTGAGGGCTGCGCTGCGGCCACGGGGAAGAAGCAGGAGGATGTTCTGCCACGTGGGCCTCTTCCTGGCCTGGCTTCGTAAGTGGGAGCAGCTGGTTCTGGTTTGAGTGCCGGCCGCAGGGCCTGTGGGGATGGAGGATTCTCAGGCACCATCCCCACTGCCTAGGGGAACAGACCCCGGGGAGGTGGTGGGGCCCCAAGAACGGAAATGCTGGTCTGCAGGGCGGGGGTTGGGTGGTCGGCACTCCAGGGGCCCGGTGAGCTGGGGCAAGTATTACAGCAGGGGGAGCACGGAGGAGGGTAGGGACCAGGAAGGGTGGTGAGCGTGGAGTCAGCCTCCACTTTGGAACAAAGCCAGGGCTCTCTGTCACCCCAACAGGAGCTGGAGAGCAAACTGGTTAGTATGTTGGGCTTCAGAGTCGAGCAGACAGACAGACGTGTCTGACCCTATTACTCACTGTCGGCACCATTGAGCACGTTGCTTCAGCACTCTGCCTCAGTTTCCCCGTGGGATAATAACCTTAGTTACGTCCTAAGGTTACTGAGAGAGTAAATGCGATTGTGCTGGAAGCGTTCAGCCACTCACCTGCGTGCAGTCCAGCTTCCAGCGGCAGCTGTGTACCTGTTGTTACCGACAGGATGTGGTTACTGCTTTTCTGACACGGACTGGTTATGGTGGTGGCGGCGATTACGGGGGACGTGTCCCCGCTGGCGGTGGCCGTGTGTTTGCTGATGGCGTGTGCACTGGGTGGACGAGAGAATGGACCAAGGACGGCCACGCCAAGAAAGAAATCAGAGGCTCCCCTGGAGCAGGAAACTTCTTAAAGTAGAAGATGCAGCTGGAGAAGGGAGAGGCCCGGGGCCCACAGTGACGGCGGTGATGGCCGGAGGGACACGGGAGACCGGTGTTTGTGCTCCAGCCTCTCTCTGTCCCAGGCCTCACCAGCGTAGGTGCCTCTGGAAGGTCCCTGGACTTGGGTTATCGCTTTCTTTTTCTATTTTGCCATTTCAACCATTTTTTACGTGTACGACTCAGTGACATTAGTTGTGTTCACCGTGTTGTACAACTGTCACCACTGTTTCCACACTTTTTCTCACCCTTCACGGAAGCTTAGCGCCCCTTCTGCAGTAATTTCCGTTTTCCCTTCCCCCCAGCCCCTCGTCACCTCTAGTTCTCTGTCTGCATTTGCCTGGTCTCGATAGCTCACGTGAGTGGGACCATACAATATTCGTCCACCTGTGCCTGCCTTGTTTCACTGAGCGAAATGCTGTCAGCGTTCATGCACGTTGTGGCATGTATCAGGACTTCGTCTGTCTTTGTGGCTGAGTAATATTGCATCCTATGGAGAGACCTCGGTGTGTTGATCCATTCATCTGTTGGTGGATACGTGTGTTATTTCCACCTTTCTTGTTTCCCCTTTGAGAGGTGAAGGGGGCTCTCTTGGGGTCCCCCAGCTTCCGTCCCGTTGCTGTTTAGCAGGAAACCCCAGCAGGAGTATTCACTATACCTCCTCTCTTTGTCTTCCAGCCTTGAAAAGGTCTTTTGAGGTTGAGGAGGTCGAGACGCCCAACTCCACGCCACCCCGGAGGGTGCAGCCGCCCCTCCTGCGAGCCACAGTGGCCAGCTCCACCCAGAAGTTCCAGGACCTGGGGGTGAAGGGCGTGGAGCCGGCCCGCCATGTAGACTCCTTCAGCCAGCGCTCCCCCAAAGCTTCCCTGCGGCGGGTTGAGCTCCCGGGGTCCAAGGCAGCCGAGCCCGTGTCACGGCGCACCGAGCTCTCCATTGACATCTCATCCAAGCAGGTGGAGACCGCCAGCACCCCGGGGCCGGCCCGCTTTGGGCTCAAGCGGGCCGAGGCGCTGGGTCACAAGACGCCCGAGCCAACCCCTCGGAGGACGGAGATCACCCTAGTCAAGCCCCAGGAGGCAGCCCACCGGCGCATGGAGCCCCCCGCCTCCAAGGCCCCCGAGGTGCCTGCCGCCCCCGCCGCCGATGCTGCCCCCAAGAGGGTGGAGATCCAGGTGCCCAAGCCGGCAGAGGTGCCCACTGCCCCCACGCCCCCCCAGACCCTGGAGAATTCGGAACCCAGCCCAGGCTGTCAGCTGCAGAGCCGCCTGGAGCCCAGGCCCCAGCCCACCGTGGCCGAGGGCCTGCCCCGGAGCCAGGAGGGTGAGTGAGAAAGGACGTGGTAGAGGGAGAATGTGGGTGGGGAGCTGGCCTTGCCCGGGAGTCTGGGAGGGAGAAGCTGAATATAGGGGGGACGCAGCACAGAGACTCGGGAGAGACCTGAGGACATACGGGGGGAGGTGCAGCGCGCGGTGGGCTGATGGCTCCTTGTTGTGAGCACTGGGACGGGCCAAGATGCAGCAAGCTGGACTGCAGTTAGAATTGTGGTACAGAGGGTGTCTCTGTTGGTCAGAGGGGCCGTGGTGCAGACCCTCGGCCATGCCGGCCCCGGGCAGCGAGGGTCTAGAAGGCAGGGAAAATGTGGATTGGTGGCAGGAGCTGGGCTGGCTAATGGGGGATGTGTGGGCGTGAAGTGTTTGAGACCCTCGGAAGGTTCCTTGTGGGTGGGAGTTGACGTCTGTGAGGCCACTAGACGAGAAGGTGGGCCTACCAGGAGATAGGCACCTGCTCAAGAAGAACTGCAGGCTGCCCTGCAAGTTTCCGGCTGAGGCAGAGGGCTCACACAGCTTTGTTTATGGGAGGGAAGCCAGGGCTTGGGCAGCGTTCTTGGGGGCCCAAACCCAGAATTGAATCCACTCGATGGCAAGGGGTTTGGTTTTTGGTTTTTCTTGGAGAGCTTATGGGGAACTCGGTGCCAGGCCCCATGAGACACAAGGCCAGCTTGGGATGCAGGGGCCGTGAGCACTGCCCCTGCCCTTCCTCAGAAGCACGCACCCTGCTGGGCTCCTCTGATCGTGGTTCCCTACTCTCAGGACCTGGAGCTCTGTATATGTTTAGTAAGTGTGTTTTAGGTTTGACAAACAGAACATTCTGGGTTTTTTTGGTTTTCGTTTGAAAGAGAATTTTCTGATGGTCAGTGGACTGGGGGAGGGAGAGGACTCCGCTTTGCAATGGGATGCAGATATAGGACAAGACCAGCGCCTCTCACACACTAATGTGCACACGGACACCTGGGTCCTGCTCAGGTCGGATTGGATGGGGAGGTCTGGGGTAGGGCCTGAGACTCCGCATTTCCTATAAGCGCTGGTCCTTGGAACGCACTTTGGGTAGCCAGGGACTAGAGGATGTTTTTTTTTTTTTTTTAAATTAACACTCATTTTCCAGCACTAGGTGTTTTTTAAATTACTGTCTAAAAGAATAACCAGTTGCCATCAAGTTTACTCTGACTCGTGGCGACCCCAGGTGTGTCAGAGGAGAACTGTTCTCCTCTGGGTTTTCAATGACTGATTTTTGGGAAGTAGATCGCCAGGCCTTTCTTCCAAGATGCCTGTGGGTGAACTCAAACCCCTAACCTTGTGGTTAGCAGTCAAGCATGTTAACTGTTTACACCACTTAGGAACTCCATCTAAAGGAATACTTCTTGGTAATTTTAGTACTTAAAGACTTAAAAACATACTGCATAAAACAAATGAACACTGAGTGAGTATTTTTTCCCCTCCATTCCGCATCCCATCTCCTGGTAACCACTCATCTTTGGTCTCGGTGGATTTCCGTATCCTGGATACCTAGTATACGTGAGCTCATAGAATATTTGTCTGTTTCCGTCTGACTTATTTCACTCAGTAGTGTTTTTGTGGTTCATCTACGTCATAGAGTGTATCAGAGCTTCATTTCCCTTTAAGGCTGAACGATGCTCCGTTGTATGGATGTATATACCACATCTTGTGTGTCCATTCACCTGTGGATGGACACTGGAGTTGTTTCCACCTTGTGGCCATCACTAGAGGATGTTTTAAGGTCCCCGCCACCCCTGGGTACCTGAGTCTCTCTGTCTGCACTTGACCCTGGAGAGCCACTCCACCTGCCCCAGCCATGGTGATGGCAGCGTGTCAGGGAAGGTGCTACCAGGGCGTTGGCTCTCTTCACAAGTCTTCTGTTGGACCAACACCTGCCTCTGGGGGTGAGTGTTCCCCAGGATGTGGCTGGGAGACATCCTCAGCCCGTCCACGTCCCTGATGCCAGCTGGTGTTGGAGGAGGTGATCCTGCCCCAGGTCCTCAAGCTGGGTGGGCACAGCCACGGGGAGGGACCACAACGTCACCCTACAGCTGACAAATGCCGCTCAGCACCCACTTTATGCCAGGAACTGTGCTGGGAGCCGGGGCCACAGGGACAGGCCAGGCTGAGGTCTCTGCCCTGGGTGTGGCCACGTAGGGTCAGGATGGGAGGGTGAATGGGCCGGTAAACAGCCGTCACAAACGGTGTGCAGGAGGCTTCCCGGGTGGTGAGACATCCTCAGCTGTTTTGAAGAGGGTAGGATTTAATCAAGGAGCCCTGGTGGCACAGTGGTTAAGCATTTGGCTGCTTACCTGAAAGGTCGGAGGTTCAAACCCACCAGCTGCTCCACGGGAGAAAAACATGGCAGTCTGCTTCCATAAAGATTATAGCCTTGGAAACCCTATGAGGCGGTTCTGCTCTGGCCTGTAGGGTCTCTGTGAGTTGGAATCCACTTGATGGCACACAACATTAGGATTTAACCAGGTGAAGTAGAGGAGAGAACAGCTTTCCAAGCTGAGGGAGCAGCTGGGAAATGTTGGGGAGCTGGGACTCAGAGGGAACAGTGGGATTCCTCAGTGGGAAAGAATTTACATGTCCAAGCCCCAGGTGCACCCCAGCCTCATGGCTTCTCAGACAGGGCACCCTGTGGAGTGGGGGCCCAATCCTGTGGGGACAGTCTCAGAGGCCAGTAGTATGTGGCTGCTGTCCTGCCCTGGAGCATGAGCTAGGCTCAGGGTTACATGCAGATCATGCATGTACACGCGTGTAACGTGTGTGTCCTCACACAGGTACCATATCCCTGTGCCCCCATGTCTGTACTGGCTGGCTGGGGAGGGGGTCCTCCTGAGACCAGTTCTCAGCAGCCGAGGACACTTTAGGTACAGCTTGGACCAGGTGGGGGCTGGGAAAGATCTGCCAAGCGGAAGGGTGTGCTGGCTGGGGGCCCATGACCCTGGGTGTGGCGGGGGCTCTGAGGAGAAGTCCTGGGATTCGAGGCCTCAGTTTAGCAAGGATTCTGTTCCCTTAAAATGGCATTAAAGGCCTCTGGAGTCACCCTGGGTGAGGTGGGCTGGTGGGCCGGTCAAGCCCATTGGTGGGTGGAGTGAAGGGCCGGGCCAGACAAGGGAATCCAGCCCCCAGCCCTCAGCTCCTCCCTAACCCTCCCCGACTTCTACCTACTTATCCACCCCTCCCCCTTCTCTGTCCCTCTGGACACAGACCCCGGTCTCCCTCGGCCTCACTTCCGGTCCCTCCTTCTGCAGACTCGGGCGCGCCATCGCTTCCGCCCCTTCCTGGGGGCTGGGTTGGGGGCTCCCAGGCCCCTCCCCGCCCCGCAGGCCTCCTCTGCCACTCGCTGTCTCCGCTCTCTCCGTAGGCTCACCACCCCTTGTCCCCCCGGTCTAGCCGGCACAGAGCAGAGGGAAAGCAGGGAGGGGGAGCCCAGTGCCCTGCACCCGGACGCTTGGCCCTTCTGCTCTGCCTCCTGGGAAGCTCTCGGCCTGTCTCTGCTCCCAGAGCTGCCTGCCCAGGGTGGGGCCTGCGAGGGCCTCAGCTGAGCTGCTCCCAGACTGCTGTCCCTGAGGCTTGCTGTGGTTGCCTCCCAGTAGGCTCTGAGTCATGGCGGCCTGTGCATAACAGAACTAAACGCTGGTCCTGCCAGTGAGATGGACTGACACAATAGTCACAATAATGGACTCAGACATCCCCTAAGGCACGCTGTTGTGTAGAGCCCATTCTGACTCACAGCGACCCTATAGGACAGAGTAGAACTGCCCCACAAGGTTTCCTAGGCTGTACTCTTTAGAGAAGTAGCCTGCCACATCTTTCTCCCGTGGAGCGGCTGGTGGGTTTGAACCGCCAACCTTTTGGTTAGCAGCCAAGCACTTAACCATTGCGCCACCAAACTGCAGCACTGATGAAATCCATTCTCACCTCTGACCCTTCATTGGCTCAGTCAATACTGGGCTCTCCCAGGCCGCCTTTCCTTGCCAGTGCCTCTGCCTGCCCCTCTCACATCACTGCTTTGTGGAACTCCTACCCACTCGGATGACACCTCCTCCATGAAGCCCTCCCACCTGCTGCAAGTAGCCGCACCTCCTCTGATTTTCACACGTTGTGCATCTTTCTCGTGGGTGGTAATACCTTGTGTTTGTCTTGGAATGTAAATTGGGTAGGAACCTTCTTCCCTCTGCTAGATTACTTTTTCTCAAAGTGACAATAGTTTTCCAGATTACAAAAAGTACTACAATAGACCTATAGAAAGTAGAGGAACCCCTGAAATGATCACCCTAAGATACCCTTTGAGCTTGGAATTGGAGCTATTTCCAAAGGTCACCTTTTAGCCAAATAACAGATTGGCTTATAAAATAAACACAGAATCACTCATGAGTTAATGTACTCCCTTAAACAATTAATTATGTGAGACCAAACCGTCAACAGTTACCCTAAAGCAGGGAGGGGAAGGGAAGCTAGATCAATGGAAACAGAACAAACAAAATGTAAATAACGAGAATGCTGACACACTGTAAAAATTTTAACCAGCGGCATGCAACAATTTGTATAGAAATTGTAAAGGGGAACCTGATTTGTTGTGTAAACTTTCACCTAAAACACACTAGAATATTATTTTAAAAAAAAAAAGTACTACACTACACTTTTTTTTTTAATTCATAAAATATAGAAATGAGAAAGAAACTCAAATTCACCCATAAGCCAGAGATATCCATGCTGAACATTTTGCTGTTTATTCTTCAGAAATTTTCTATGCCCACACTAGGGTCTAAGTTCCTTGAGGGTGGAGTTGTCATCTTCGTTTTTGTAAAGAATTCCATCTGAAACGGATATTGGTGATGGCTGCACAGTAGGAGAGATATAACTGGTGCCACTGAATTATACAGATGAACAGTGTTGAACTGGCAAATGTCGTGCCGTATGTATTTTTGTTGTTGTTGGTAGGTGCCTTTGAGTTGATTCCAACTCATAGCG